GTGAGTTAGAAACGCTCTCTATTGAAATGGGTCAAGGTTGCCTGTTGCTCCTGTGGTGATTCCCAGCCTCCGAGGAGGATCAGACAGACTAGGAGTGGTTTTCAGGTTTGACACCTGATGACTAGCACCTCTTGATGTGTTAACGTGAGAATGCCTGGCCCTCCATGGTCTCTGCGTGTGTTGAAACTGTACCGTGTTTTCCAGCCGCCCTCCGTGCCCGTGCTCGAGGCCAGCTCCTGATCCTCAGCGCCGCCTCCCGCTGGACACCGGGATCGGCTCGCAGTAAACCTCTCGGCGGTTTGTGAGCACAAGTACCCGCAGAAACCATAGCTTTTCACCCCACAGCCTCGGTGCCGGGGTCCATGGAAAGCGTTTGGGTGAAACCAGCACAAGCACACACGCAGAATGCGAAGTGCGCTCTATTCTTAGGGAATTTTCTGCAAGGAACCAGAAATTGCAAAATCCTGTGCTGTGGTACCCCCTGTGTAGTAGGCATGCAAATTAAAGCCAATTTTCTGCCTCTTTCCCTCTTGTTTCCCCCTTTATTTATTACTAGTGGCCCCGTCCTGGTTCGTGCCCATTGAAAAGAAATTAATTAGAAGAACTATTTTAATATCACTATTCGCCCTTTCTCTATAATAGAAGTGTTAACCAAATTCACGATCGACAATGACAGATTGAAACACGTGCGATGGGTGCCAGCAAGAGCTTCATATGTATTGCACATGCGCCAGTCAGCGTTTATTTTTAAATGGCCAGTGCGCGTCGTATGTTCCAGCCAGTCGGTCGGTTGGACATACATACATACAGTCGGTCACTTAGCCTTTTATATATATAATTTATTTACTAGAGGCCCAGTGCACGACATTCGTGCACTTGGGGGGAGGTGTCCCTCAGCCCAGCCTGCGCCCTTTCACAGTCCAGGAGCCCTCAGGGGATGTCCGACTGACAGCTAAGGCCCGTTGCCCGCAGGGAGCAGGCCTAAGCTGGCGGTCGACATCCTTAGCACTACCACTGTGCTCGCCAGCCATCAGCCTGGCTTCTGCCATTCGGTCGTTCTGCTGTTGGGTCCATTTGCATATTAGCCTTTTATTATATAGGATTTATTTAGTGTAAATCCTCACCCGAGGATATTTTTCCATTGATTTTTAGGGAGAGTGGAAGAGAGGGAAGAAAGAGAGAAACATCGATGTGAGAGAAACACATTGATTAGTTGCCTCCTGCACAAGCCCCGACCAGGGCCCGGGCTGGGGAGGAGCCTGCAACCGAGGTACCTGCACTTGACCGGAATCGAACCCGAGACCCTTCAGTTGCAGGCTGGCACTCTGTCCACTGAGCCACACCAGCCAGGGCGTTTTCCCCCTTTTAAACACTTCCTCTTTTGAGAGGAGGGTTTGATTATAATTTGTGGAGAAGGAAGAAAACCCTGAGCAGTTGGGTGGTTCTTTTGGATTGGACGGGGCCCTGCCTTAGGGATTTGCACAGACCGTCACCTGGGTCCTAAGGAAGGACCGAGGGAAAGGGAGGCTAAGACACTCGCCTGCAGTCCCAGGCGGAGGGACGAGGACTTGAAACCAGGAAGTCTGCCTGGAGCCTCCTCCCAGGACGCGCGGCATCCGTGACCTTACCCGTGGGTTCAGTGCCATTCCACTAAGAACTGGGGACTCCCAGCATCTTTTGAATTGTACCAAGTCACAGGCTTTTTAAATAGACATAGTTTATTTAATTTTTTGAACAGGTAATACATTCACATGGTTCAAAAACCAAAACAGAAACGCTCTACAGTGGAATGTGGTGTCTGTGTCCCCCCTCCCTGCCCCCACATGGAGGCCTCTGGCCTTGCTCAGGGTCCCAGCCACACGGCGCGGGGCACAGACACGGTTTTATACCGAGTGGCGGCCCAGACGTGCTGTTTGCTTTTCTCAATTTTTCTTGGCAGCTCCCCGATATCACTAGATAGCTTTCTCTTCGTCTTTTTGTTTTGTTTGTTTTTTTGTGTTGTTTTTTTTTTTTTAGTGACTGCTTGGTATTCCATTATAGGAACGTGCAATCACTTAACCAGCCCCCTATTAGTAACCATGTGGATTGTTACCAGACCTCACATAGGTGTCATTTCACACGCATGTAATGATGCAGTTGTAGAATTCTGGGGCGAAAGACCGTATGCGTTTGTACGTGTGGAAGGTTTTAGAACGTTGCCCTTCCTCAGGGTCAGTCACCCACTCCCATTCCCACCTGTCATTCAGACCATGCCCGCTTACCCACAACCTCACAACATAGGCGTCATCAGAATCTTCGTTTTGACAGATGCAAAATTACAGGTGTGTGCTTGTAGTTTTATTGTAAGGTCGACTGCTTTTGACGTTTGAGCCGCCTGCATTTCCTCTTGTTTCTACCTCTGGCCCATTTTTAGCCTGTCCTGGAATTCCTAGGAGTCATTTATCGGGACTTTGCTTATGGTGGCTTTGCCATGTGGTTTTATAGGGGTTTCTGGACTTGGAGTCACGCTAAGATTCCAAGTGGAATCTTCATTCCACAGCAGTAATGTCCCTGTATTTTCTTCTAGAACGTTTATGGTTTAGTGTGTGTGTGTGTGTTTAACCTAAATTTTTATTCCTTTCGAGTATATTCTGGCCTAAGGTATAAGTTATGGATGCAACCGAGTTCCTCCCAGATGACTAGCCGGTCATTCTGCATCGTTTATTGAAGTTTGTCTTTCCCTCACTTTAGTGCCCAGTTTTGTATTGGCAGGTTGGTTGGTTTGTTTTTCTAAAGATCTCTAACACTGAAGCGTCAGGATCCACAGGAACTGGCTGTGGCCCGGCCAGCGTGGCTCAGTGGTTGAGCCTTGACCTATGAACCAGGAGGTCACGGTTCAATTCCCAGTCAGGGCACATGCCCAGGTATTGGGCTCCATCCCCAGTGTGGGACGTGCAGGAGGCAGCCGATCCATGATTCTCTCTCACCATTGATGTTTCTGTCTCTCTCCCTCTCTGGAATCCATAAAAATGTATTAATAATTTAAAAAAAGGACATTGGGGTACTTGAGAACAGTAATCGCCATTCCGCGCCTTCTCTGAGCCTTTAGTATCTGAGTCGCTCTGTTGCTGGACTTAGCAGCATGTAAATGAGGAAACTAAGGAAACTTAATCTTCCTTTCCATCCCAATCTGCAACACATCACAGGGAAAACATGACCATTTTCTACAGGAGAAAACTAGCTTGACAGTTCTTAACGTCCTGGCTGTGCGTATAATACTTGTGCTTCAGCGTCACCTTTTAAAGGGGGGAGACGAGAAAATTAGGCACTTTTTATCCTTTCCAATAAAAAAATAATAGTTCATATAAATACCAGCAGCTTTATCACCAAAAGAGATTATGGCTTTTACCAAATAATGTTGGGCATTTCCATTTTCCTGCCAGTAATAACAGAATAACCAAATGTTTCTATATCATAGGCTGAGTATAATCATTATAGGATCTTAGTGATATTTTTATCATTGTGTTTTTATTTAGTTTTTTGATGGTCAGACATGGGTGGCTTACTTATTTGGGGTTAAATCTCACTGTGTTTTAAAAACACATCTACCATTGCCCAGGCCAGTAGCTCGTTTGGAGCATCGTCTCAGTGTGCCAGGGTTGCGGGTTCGATCCCAGGAATCACCCAGTGAATGCATGAATGGGGCCATTTCCCGGAAGGGGGCTGTTTTACAGCTGCAGGATATACAATTATCATATATATTACATGTCACATAAATAAATCTATCTTGGAGTGCTGGAATGGCACTTGTGGTTGGAGAACCAGTATTTCACACCGTGTTTCACTTACACGAGAGATGACGTAGCAGCAGTTGTCTGCAGCGTGTCCCGTGCGTGACTGAGAGGCGTCATGAGAGGCAGTATCAAGGGCTTCTCCTACCGGCAGCTTCTCCTTCCAGAGGCCCTTTCAGAGCGACTTAAAGGGCACTGCCTGGCCGGCGTGGCTCAGCGGTTGAGCATCAACCTATGAACCAGGAGGTTGTGGGTTTGATTCCCGGTCAAGGCACATGCCTGGGGTTGAGGGCTCCATCCCCACTGGGGGCGTTGCAGGAGGCAGCTGATTGGTGATTCTCTCTCATCATTGATGTTTCTCTCTCTCCGTCTCCCGTCCTCTCTGAAACCAATACAAATATATTTAACATAAAATAAAGGGCATCTCTAAATACGGTTGGAAATGGAAGGAACCCTGTTGGGGTTCCAGTCTTGTGGCCCCCAGGGCCGGGGTGTTTATCACTGACCCCCTCTGGGACCCTCTCCTTGCTCCTTCAATGTCATGGGCGGTCAGTGGGCTGGGAAAGGTGCCTTCTCGCTGCCGTCCGCGGTGATGAGTGGATATCACACGTCATTGGGCTGAAAAACAAGGCCACATCTCCGACCCCAGCAGAGGAGTCAACTCTGTCCACCTTCTTCCCATGATCCTTTGGGTGCAGACAGTGCCCTCCTGAGACGGAATTCCAAACCCGGGGCAATACTGAGATTCTTGGAATCCACTCCCTGGGCCTTAACGACCTCTAAGGAGCCCGTGACCTCTAGGTGGTCAGTTGATACTCTGCTACCTTCTACCTTTCACCCCGGGCGCTGTCAGGAGGGTCGCCCAGCGCGGAGCTCAGAATCCAAGGGACCTGGAAAGGTAGGGATCTGAGAAACCCGTTCATCTAAAAGCCTTAAAGAACCCTCAGACCATACACGGTATACTTTTCTTATTTTTCCCCCCATTGATTTTTAGAGAGAGTGGAAGAGAGAGGGAAAGATAGAAACATAGATGTGAAAGAAACACATCGATTGGTTGCCTCCTGCACGAGCCTGGACCAGGCCCCCGGGCCAGGGAGGAGCCTGCAAACGAGGTACATGCCCTTGACCGGAATCGAACCCGGGACCCTTTGGTCCGCAGGCCGACGCTCTATCCCTTGAGCCAAACCGGCTGGGGCGTCTATACTTTTTAAAGTGAATTATGCATCAATGTCTGTGCAAACTAGAACCTGTATTACAGTAACCTTCTCCAAACCCCCTAGTATAGTTTAGCATTATTATTTAAGTTATATAAAATACATTTTTATAAAAGTACAGAATTTTTAAAGTTTAAATTATACCCCTGGAAACAGGCGGCCAGGGCTCCCTTCTTAGTACTAAAAATCAGGTTGTGTTGATCTACATTATTGCTTAGCCCTAGGGAGCCAGGAGAAACCTGTAACCGATAAAAATCAAGTCCTATTTCGTGAGGAAAAGTGCCCTAAAGATTCAGCTTTCGTGGCGTCCGTTTTTCTCAAGCTTCTCAACCGAGGAATGGTCCGTAAAGCTGTTAGCTGGTGCTACCCACGGCGTGGCTTGCCAGGATCCACGACCAGGTCCGGAGGTAAAGTCCCCGCTGGTGCCAGGAAGCTGTTCGTCTGCTGTCCCCAGTCATAGTAGTCGGGAGCGAAACTTCAAGAGAAAAAGGGGTATTTCAGCGACGTGAAACACTGACCTTACTATCGATGACTGTGTAAACCACCGACAATTCCAAGGATTCTTAAGGCAGCTTCTTTTTTTAAAAAATATATTTTTATTGATTTCAGAGAGGAAGGGAGAGGGAGAGAATCATGGATGGGCTGCCTCCTGCACGCCCCCTACTGCTCTATCCACTGAGCCAAACCGGCTAGGGCTAAGGCGGCTTCTTGAAGCCCATTGTTCCATAAGCCAGTGCTCTGGGCAGCGGCGAGAGGTCCACGCACAGCCTACTCAACTCTAGAGCCCGCAGGTCCAGTGATCCTAGAGCCACAAACCCATCACGGGGGGTAACACAATGTCCTAGCAACGAGCCACCTGAATCCTAACGCGGAGTGGGTATCCTTCGCTACCTGCGTGTCTGTGCCTGTTTTATCATCTGTGACTATCTCATGGGGATTTCTTGAGTTCCTACCTATAAACTGCTTAGTCCTTAATCGGCGTGGCTCAGTGGTTGAGCGTCGACCTATGAACCAGGAGGTCACGGTTTGATTCCCTGACAGGGCACATGCCCAGGTTGCAGGCTCGATCCCCAGTGGGGGGCGTGCAGGAGGCAGGCGATCCATGATTCTCTCCTCATTGATGTTTCTCTCTTTCCCTCTCCCTTCCTCTCTTTAATCAATAAAAATATATATTTTAAAAAAGCTAAGGAGCCTTTAAGAATCAATCCAACAGACTCTCCCCAGCCTGAGCGAGGCTCACCTTCCGTGAAGTCCCTGAGGGGCGACGTTCCAGGCGAGGTCGTCGTCGCTGTCGTATCTGCGAGGGTTGTCGAAGAAGTAGGACCTGGGGCTGAACCCGTGGCTGGGGACCAAGCCCGGACTGGTCTGGAAAGACAGTGACTGGTCAGCATGCCTCGGACACAAGGCTCGCGGGCAAAGAAAGGGGAAGCAGGCCTCCTGCAGGAGACAGGAGGGGTTCTTCTCTTCCGGGCAGAGGCCCCCCTAATTCTGCTGCAGAGCGTTTCTCCTGCTTTTATTCTGAAGAGGTTCTCTTCCTTTTACCACATGGACGTCTTTCAGAGTTCTGCTTACAACCGTGACGTATCACAGTCTGAACCCCGAGACGAAAAACCAGCCAACGCCCAGATTAGCCAAGCACGATGGTCCCAAATTGGATATAAACCTGTATAATAATAATGTGGGCATTCCCAGCAATTTAAAAGAATGACATTAGCCCGGCCAGCATGGCTCAGCGGTTGAGTGTCAATCTACTAGTATAATCAATAAGGAGGTCACAGTTCGATTCCCGGTCAGGGCACGTGTCCGGGTTGCAGGCTCAATCCCCAGTGTGGGGTGTGCAGGAGGCAGCCGATCAATGATTCTCTCTCATCATTGATGTTTCTCTCTCTCTCTCCCTCTCCCTTCCTTTCTAAAATCAGTAAAAAACATATTTTAAAAAAATTAAAACATAAAAGTCAACCAACAGAGTCTGAAACAAAGTTGTTATGGGATGGTCTCTTTCTGGCGTTTCTTTGTCTGGTTTCGGAATAAGGGCAACGCTGGCCTCATTAAACGCGCGTGGGAGCCTTCCTTTCAGGGGCCTTGGGAATCGAGGGTCCAAAAGACTCCGTGAACTACAGCAACGTTCTACATCACAACAGGCTGAAGGCGGCTTTCGATGGACAAGCTGAGAAAAAAGGCTCACGGTCCGCCTGTGCTTAGAACGGGGCGCTATTTCCTGCAAATACCAAGCGGTTTCCTCTACTCCAGTGGTTCTCAACCTTCTGGCCCTTTAAATACAGTTCCTCATGTTGTGACCCAACCATAACATTATTTTCGTTGCTACTTCATCACTATAATGTTGCTACTGTTATGAATCGTCATGTAAATATCTGATATGCAGGATGGTCTTAGGCGACCCCTGTGAAAGGGTCGTTCGACCGCCAAAGGGGTCGCCACCCACAGGTTGAGAACCGCCGCTCTACTCACCAGGTCCTTGGCGGGGTTTCGGACGCGGAAGAAGTAAACGACCAGGGAGGTGGGCAAGAGCTCCCACACGAAGAGGACCACCCCGAACACCACGTACCCCCCGTCTCCCAGCTGGTTCTTCAGATCCGCCTGTGGAGGGAGGGAGGGGGTGCAGCCAGGGGCCAAAGAAATAGGACAGACAGACAATGCACCCAAGTCAGCTGCAAAGGGCCCATCCTTTTCCTTCTCTCTCCCGCGGCAGCCAAACCTAACCGCCCGCTCGCTCTTCAGAAACTGTGCATCTCGCATTCCATCTATAACATGTCTCAACGGCACCGTGTTCTTTTTCCGTCCACACGAATGACATGTGCACACGTGGCCACATGTTTTGCTCCTAGATTCTACGGGCTGCAACACACAGTCTCTATAAATAGACCCTAAAAGCTGCAGAATGCAAAGAATTGTGATCCTATTTTAAATCTGTTATATAAGCTCCCCTGGCTGTGGTGACTCAGTGGTTCAGCATCGTCCCATGGACCAAGAGGTCCTGGGTTCGATTCCCAGTTGGGGCACATGCCCAGGATGTGGCCTCAATCCCCAGTGTGGGGTGTGCAGGAGGCAGCTGATCAATGATTCTCTCTCATCACTGATGTTTCTCTCTCTCTCCCCCTTCCTCTCTGAAATCAATAAAAAAGTATATATATTTCTTTACTGCGATGGCTTCTCTGTGTGTTTCTCTTCCTCAGAGACCGACAACCCCTGGAGGCAGGGAGGGAGGGAGGGAGTCTGTTCTCTCATATCCCCAGCTCTGTCTGGGGCCGGAGAAGCAGTATGTGTCAGGTGAGAAAATGCAAACTCATTCTCGCTTTTTCTGAGCTTTTGTGAACAAGGATGCCAGATGATATCTCAAGACCTTTGTTCATCTGCTTTATAATTTATGCATTTCCAGAATAGATTACAAAGAAAGAGTAACACAGTGAGACCACCGGTAATAGGAGCTTTCGCGAACACCTGAATGTCCTCAGTGCCCTTCGTCTAGATTTCCTCAAACGCTATTGGTACTCGTGCGCCATTAAAAAAAAGTCTAGCCCTGACCGGTTTGGCTCAGTGGATAGAGCGTCGGCCTGCGGACTGAAGGGTCCCAGGTTCGATTCCGGTCAAGGGCATGTACCTTGGTTGCGGGGACATCCCCAGTAGGGAATGTGCAGGAGGCAGCTGATCGATGTTTCTCTCTCATCGATGTTTCTAACTATCCCTTTCCCTTCCTCTCTGTAAAAAATATCAATAAAATATATTTTTAAAAAGTCTAACTTTGTAATTTCATGTATTTTCAAAACCTAA